GTGCCACTTCGGTGGCCCCGTAATGTTTTTATTGACAGAAATTGTACCAAAAGCAATGTGTGACACGGAACGTTGTTGTCTTGATGGAGGAGAAGCCATTTTCCCATTTCATGTTAATGCATTGTTTGCAATCCATGATTTATGGCACACTTTAAAACACACCTTCTCACACCCTGTAACAGCTCACACCCAACAGATTGCACCGAACAAGTTGAAACTTGTCACACACTATTACTAAGGCTCGATTTGCTGCTTCCTGTATTGAAGATTCCTTTTCCATTGGATGGCACACAACAGCAGCATTCACTGTATTTATTGATCACACCTCATATGTTTAAAACTCAATGATACCATTTATATGGACTTATGTAGCATTTTAGAAAGCATGGCCCTGTGACATCTTAAGAAAGTTTCCTAATAGTCATGGCAAGCCAAGATGTACCCTCAGCCCCATTTGCAGGCCATGTTTCCTAACGCAGTCCTTAACCATCATGAAAAAGAAACAATACCATGACCAGCCAGTCCTCCATAACTCCAAGCATAATAAACCTCCAAGTTCAGAAACCAATATTTGATAAAGATTTTTAAAACATCATATCTGTAAACTGGTAGATATCACTTACACATCTGAATTCATTAAAAACTATTGAGATGAGAATCCAGGTTTATACAGGTTCTACAGATGCAGGTGGATATATTTCCCTATATGTATTGAGATCTTACTTGAGAATAGAAAAAATCAAGAAAGCTCGTGCCTTATATTGCCAACCAATAAATGAAGAAAAGATGATAATGAAATAGCCATATAATCCTTTTTATATAAAAAAAAATCCCACTTTGATTTTGACTGTTAGTAACCTTTTCCAAGCTTTTCTCTCTTTATAAATGCAGCACAAGTAATCTAGATATGGCTGGCTCTTTATAATTGAGTATATCATATTTAAATCTTCTTGCTTTGTGGAAATTATGTGTTTGTGGTTGATTAAAATATTCAGCATATGTAGATTTCATCTTTTAGTTCAATAGAAAAATATAAATGATAGAGGTTGGATTCCTATCAAAGTAGCAAAGACATTCCCCAGACATGCATAATTCTCATGCTGAACTGGAGGTGATTCACCTTTCAGTGACTTCACAGGTGTTCACTTGGCCAAACAAAATAGGTAAATCATTTTCCATTCATTTTTTTTCCCCGAGGCAAGTTTTCAGTAAAATTGCTTTTCTGTGAAATATATATATGTAAGTCCATAACATGTCCACTTGAAAAATGAATTTGCATCAACCTCTGAGATGTGAAGACTATGTAATATATATTTTGTCAAAAATAACTAAATTGAGTTCCTCCTAACTAAATCAGAAGGGGGAGGAATTCTAAATCAGAATTGTATGCCAGTACTGGATGATATGAAAGGAGACCTGATTGTACAGTGGTGTTCCAATAAAATGGGTCCAGAGGGGTGACTGGTTAGCTCAATTGGTTAGAGCATGGTGCTGATAACACCAAGGTTGCCGGTTCGATCCCCACATGGGCCACTGTGAGCTGTGCCCTCCTTAAAAGAGTCAACTATGCCATTGTAGCAATGAAAGCAATGTGTAACCAATGACCATGGCTGTTCCCCAATAAAAAATTTTTTTACATGGCTCCAGAGAAGAGTGAGGAAAGAAATCTACCCATCAGTGATCTAGAAAACACAAATGTGTGGCTGTGAAACATGGGCTGTTGCTTGGTGAGTAAGTCATCATCAGATATTTATGGCTCATGCCCAGGAGCTTGTGAGTGGCCATGGGGGAAAATGGCCTGTTATTGGTCTTGCAGGAGCCCACCCAGTGGTGGTACCTCTGCCCAAGCTTCTGACTGCACCAAGTGACTAGTCCACGTCAGTGGCGCACTCCTTTCTGAATCAGTGTCAGCGCTGGTCTCTCAAATGTATTACTCTTCTTAACACATGCTTTGTGAAACTGCAGGTTAGCATTTTTCTCATTTCGGTAGTCAACATTCACCACATATCCTCATTCTTATGGAAGGAGACAAAGAAACTAGGGAAGATTATTCTCCATAAGTCCACAATTTGAAGTTGTGGTGACTGAGAAGGACAGAGCTAGATCTTAAATTGGAATACAGGAGACTTAAGATAAACAGTAGAAAAATGTTCTTTACACATGTAGCTCTCTTGCTAAGTGATGAAGGTGGTATTTTAAGAAAATCAGTCTGAAAGGAATGTACAGGATGTATTAGGATAGAGAAAAATGGGTGTTACAGAGAACTGAAGGTTACGCTAAAAACCTAAAAATTAATGTTTTTGCATCACCTTAGAGTTTTCAAGGAGTTTAGGCACACACCTCACTTGATTTTGCAATAACCTCTGGGGTGGATATGAAAGATGATATTATCTTCACTTCACACATGAGGAAACAGGAACCTGGAGTAGTTAAATGACGTGCCCAAAGTCACACAGCTGTGAGTGGCAGAGCTGGAATTCCCATTTTTCACACCTGACTCCAGTTTCATTACTCCTAACATGATTGTATCTCGGATAAATGTGGTAGCAGGAATGGAGAATGAGGGGCAACTCAGAGAGATTTTGAAAGAACAAATGAAAGAAATTGGCAGTTGATTGGGTATAGGTGATAAAGAAACAGGAGAAGGAAAGCTGATTCCTAGGTTTCTAAAGTCTGGAAGTTGGTGAGATTAATAATGTCATCAGCTACTGTTGGCAAATATGCTTTCTATGTCGCAGGTCCTGTGCCACATTTGGCTATATTGTCTCATTAAATCCTCACAGCTCTGAGAGGCAAGGGTATTATTATCCCCACTTTATGAGGGGAGTACATGAAAGCTGTTTTCACTTTTAGAGGGGAAAATAAAATCAAGGTTTTTGCTCCAAGACAAGGGAAAGCTCTTTGGCTTGTGTTGACCATACTTAGAGCCTGAGACCTGGGGCAGTGGTTTGGTGTTCTCATGTGTATGGACGTGATTATGCTGCCAGCCATGAAGTAATCACGCTGGGCCAATGGTAGTTATGATGTTTGCAAATCCAGTACTGGCAAACTGTTTAATGCCTCCTTGGTGCTTTGCCTGCCATTAAAATAGGCTGCACCAAGCAGATGGTTTTTCCTTGGCTCTGGCTTTAAGGTGGTCAGCTAGGTAATCCAGGTAGTACATAGCTAACAATGCTTTCCTCTTCAGATATTATTAAAAATAAAAATATAACTAAGTATAATTATCATATGACTCAATGTAAATATTGCATTTATGTAAAATACACTATTTGGATTAAAACTCTTAAATATGATTGCATTCCTTCTTAATTGTTACTAGTGACTTTTACTTCTTATTGTTATCCATAACAATAACAACAACAAAACAGCTTAAGCCTGGTTTTCCCCTAACTTTAACCAGTTCACACATTTCTACCTTGTCCTGAGCCTCTGTTGGCACCTAGGGTTTGTCTGATACCTTGACTGTCCATAGCTCCCTCTAATCTTTGAATTGTTCGTAACCTTATTTAAAACTCCTCAAGAAAAGACCCTTCCTAGATTTCCTGCTTTTAATACCTGCTTTTAATAGCTGCTTCCAGGCTGGCTGAGTGGCTTAGTTGGTTAAGAGCTTGCTCAAGAATGTGAGCTCTGAGCAACAGCGGTTTGATTCCCAGCCTGAGCTGAGCTGCCAACAGGTGGCAGGATGGCTCAGCTAAAAATAAATAAAATAAAATACCTGCTTCCTCTTTCTCTCTTGCTCAGGTAGAGACAGGGAAAATAATTTGCATATCAAATAAAGTAAATAGTGTATGAAAAAAAATCTCAAACCTTTTTGCAAATAGTGGTTTACTTTACAGCTCATTTCCAAAGGCTTCAAACTGTATCTCTTTAGGTATCTACCTGCTAGTTATTTATTCACTAGGCTGCATACTGCAGTCTCTTAGCAACCATAAACTTCATGGAAAACTAACAATTCTCTCATACCACCTGTGTTTAGAAGCTGGCCTTATTTTAAAAGACTAGGAGTTATACAAGCAAAAAAAATGCCAGAATTTAGTTCTTGAAAATAAATTTAAATAAATTATTATATTTCATGGGGTGATAAATGGTTTCTTCCCAGTGGCCCTTTGCTCTGAGGCTGCATTGGAGATTATGCTGGTGGGAGGCTGTGTCCACTCCCAGGGCAAGGGGTCAGGACTGAGTGTCTTTCTTCCTGACTCCCTGTAGGATTGTAAAGATGTCCAGTCCCAATCTGAACATTGTGACCTTACTGGGCAGTTGTCTGACTTACAGTAGCGCTTACCTCTTTGGGATTCAAGATCGAGATGCTTCAGTGGGAAGCTCAATGGAAACTCTCATTCAGGTGAAGTCCTAAATTTTTGTTTTGAATGTAATGCCAAAGTTTGATCATGTTTTAGTCAGCTGCTCCTGTGGGTGGTGGTTACCTTTCTCCTTGCTGTGGGCCCTTTCAGAGGTGATCCCTGGAACTCTCAGTCAGTGGGGCCCACTTGCTGCCCCACACCCTCCATAGACTGAGGTTTTGCAGATCAGAATGTGTGGAGAATGACAAAGGTTCCTCTCATGCCTCTCGCTTCTGTCCCTTTCCACCTGCAGGTAAGACTGTCTATGCTGTGCATTGGGACCTCCCTTGTGTTTGGACCCATTCTGGGGAAGAGCTGGCGACTCTACAAGGTGTTTACCCAAAGGGTCCCTGACAAGAGAGTGGTGAGTAGGCAGCAAATACACACTGCTTGACTGCAGATGGCAGCTTCCCTCTTGATGAAAAGCTAGAGAAACTTGTGCCAGATTACTGGGTCTGGCCCTTTTACGACAGAAGTTCCTGCTCCTCGTTTCAAACCTTGGAGTCGTGTGGCCTCTTGAGGCCCCAAGCCTGGAAGGATGTGTGTCGGTGCTATTGGGAGATAGGTCTTTAAACATCGGTACTGCTTCCTGTGTACCTCAGGTCCTGGTACTGCTCTGAGGGTGTGAGCTGGCCAATACGTGGCACCAGCATGAGAAAGAGTGGGCTGCTTGGCACTGTTGTGAACTGAAAGTGGAGGGAGGGAGGGTGAATACAAAGAAGCTCTGGCAGATGAGTAGTTATTTTCCTCACTGGAGCCCAACTCTTTTTCATGTAGAAGGCTACTCTAAGCATTAAGAAGGATGATAGGTCTGGAGCAGTAAGCAAGAAAGAGGACACCCATTCATCAAATCGAATCAACCTTACAAGCTATGTGGCAGCAGATCACCTACATGCCCCTGAAATTAGTTATCATCCTAACCACATTCCCCCATTTTATCACATTTCCTAATAGAGTTGCCCAAACCGCAAAGTTTATCAGCAAACTCTTTGTCCACATAGGCCCTGCCCAGACCCAATATGTCTCAGTTGGAGTTTACTTCTGTGGAATGGTGGGTTTTGTTTTTTAAAGAATTTTATTGAATCGTGGTGAATATTTATCAAAAGCTCAGTTGTACTCACATACATAATAAAAAGATTGCCTGAAGGACAAGATGTTCGTCCATTTATTTAGGTCTTCTTCAATTTTTCTCAGCAATTTTTTTTTGTAGTTTTCAGTGGAAGTCCTTCATATCTTTTATTAGATTTATTCCTAAGTATTTTATATTTTTTATGCTACTACACATGTTATTGTTTTCTATTTCACTTTCCAATTTTTGTTGCTAATACCTAGAAATACAATTTCTTTTTGTATGCTGATCTTGTTTGCTGCAACTTTGCTAACCTACTTATTAATTCTAGTAGCTTTTTTTGTAGATTCCATCAGATTTTTCTACATGGATTATCATAACATATGTAAATAAAGACAGTTTCGGTCCAATCTCTTGTATAATGGCACTGGTTAGAAACAACAGTACAGATGTTCAATAGAAATGCTGAAAGCAGACATTCTTGAGGTGTTCTTGATCTTATGAGGAAAGCATTCAGTCTTTTAACAAGTATGATGTTACCCATAATTTCATTGTAGATCCCCTTTGTTTCATTGGGGGAAGTTCCCTTCTATTTCTGTTTTGCTGAGAGTTTTAATAAAGAATTGATGTTGAGTTTTGTAAAATACTTTTTCTGTGTCTATTTACAGGATCATATGGTTTTTCTTTTTTAGTTTGTTCCTATGTTGGATTACATTGATTTTAGGATCTCAAACCAACCTTGAGTTCCTGAGACAGACTCCACTTGATCATGATGTATTATCCTCTTATATTGTTGGATTTATTTTGTTTATGTGTGTATTAATATTCATAAGGAATATTGCTCTATCATTTTCTTTTCTTGTAAAATCTTCTTCTGGCTTTGGTATCAGGGTAATACCTGCCTTATAGAATGAATTGGGAAGTATCCCCTCCTCTTTGATTTCTGGAAGAGTTTGTGTATAATTGGTATTCACCTAGTATAAGTTCTTTAAAATACATAGTATCCTTCTATTTCTTTCCTTCTCAATCTTTGTGTTATTCGTTTTACTTTTACATGTTATAAGCCCCACCCAATTATTTTTTTGTTTAAAAATTAGTTATCTTTTAAAGATATTTTAAAAATAAAAATCAATCACATATTTTTTAATAAAGTTAACATTTCCAGATACAGGTATTCATTTGATATTATTTTCCTTTTGCTTGAAGGATATCTAATTCTCATGTGTGTGTTGCTAGTCCTGAATTTTTCAGCTTTTGTTTATCTGAAAAAAGTCTATATTCCACCTTTGTTTTCTAAAGATATTTTTTGCTGGATGTAGACTCCTAGGTTGAGGTTTTCTTTTTTTCCTTTTAGTACTTTGAAGATTTTTCTCCACTGTATCCTCACCTGGCCTTGTATCTGATGAGAAATCTGATGTCTTCCTTATCTTTGTTTTTCTATACATAATGTATCCTTTTTGCTGATTGCTTTGAAGATTTACTTTTTATCACTGGTTTTGAGCAGTTTGATTAAGCAACCAATTTATCTTTATCTTACAAACACCATGAATCATGTAACTGGTTGTGCTTCCTTCTTTTCACTGGTTGACAAAAACTCAGATCCACATTTCTGTCCCAATTCATGAATGTTATATACTCTCCTCACCTGAACCTTCATCGTAATTCTCTTTATTTTCTCTTTTCCTTAATATTTTTTTATTTTTCATCCTGTTGCAGGATATGTTTTCTTAATTTTTTTGTAGTCACAAAAGTAACACATATTCTTTTATTAGGTCAAGTAATTCATATAAGTATAAAGGAAATGCTAGTAATATACTTCCACCGTCCTCAGCTATCAATCCCACCCTCCAGGTTAACCATTAGGTTAATAGTTTTGTGTGAAAGCTTCCATATCTGTCTATGTGCTCATATAAACATCTAGAAACAAGAGAGTATTTATTTTATAAGACCTTTGAATCTTCTGTGGCGAAAGGCAAGATATGGGAAAAATAAACAAATGGAAATGTTTAATGGTGATAATAATGATATGGACATAGAAACCCTTGTACCTTTTGGAGGGCGGTGGCAGAGTCTATGAAGCCACCCCAAGAGCTGGAGCTGTCTTATTTCCTTCTGTTCTACTTTTGGTTGCAATCAACAAAGGCAGTTTGTACCATAATAAAAGAAATACAGAAAAGAAAGAACTCCTTGTAAATATTTAGTATCTGTTTCACCTCTGATGACTAGATTTGAAGCTTTGGGGGAGGGTTAACCCTGGAGCCTGTAGCTCAGAACACATAGGACACTCTAGCCCCTGTGTCAAAGAGCCAGTGAGCTACGGAAAATTATGACCTTGACTCTTTTGCAGATAATCAAAGACCTGCAGCTCCTGGGGCTGGTGGCAGCCCTGGTTATAGCTGATGTGATCCTACTCATGACGTGGGTACTGACCGATCCCATCCATTGCCTCCAGATTCTCAGTGTCAGTATGACGGTGAGGATTCCAAATCCCTGGAGAATTTAATTCCTGAACTGGGGGGACTGGCTTTGTGGGTACACGGAGCTCATTCTCTGACTTGCATTCACTGTGTGGTCATCCTCCCAACAAGAAGATAAATGATCCAAAGAGGAGGGCAGGTCAGGAGCTGTGGCTGCCGTGAATGCCTTGTCCTTTGTCTGCAAGGTATGCTACCACTCCCACCGCTCCTCCTGCCCCACGTGTCTTCCAGTGGCATCTACTGAGATGTCAGCACACTGGAATTGGCCTGGCAGTTATCTCTGCTTCCACAATATCAATCATGAGAACTTTCAGCTACCGGAAGTTGCGTTCCCTTAATTGTTGAGAGGTAAAGGTAGAATTTTGAGGTGGCCTTTGGAGTCAGTCAACCCTGGTTCAACTCCCGGCTCTGTCACTTTCTAGCCATGTGACCTTGGGAAAGTCATTTAACCTCTCTAAGTCTCTATTTCCTCATAGGTAAAATGGAGATAATGATACTACCTATTTCTTAGGGCTCTGGTGAAAAGTAAGTGAAGCAATGCAGGTAAAGAACTCAACTGCGCCCAGTACATAGTGTTCAATTAATAGGAATTATATGTCTCCAGACTCATAATGGGCTGAGGAATACAGTGGAATCTTGACATTGCAGAGTTAATATTTAAGGTTTCAATTGTTAACAAATAGCAGGAACATGATGTGAAATAATTTGTAATTTTGCTGATGCAGCAATTTGAATCATTGTGGTAGCAAAGCACATAACAAGGGGTAAACCCTGCTGCCACCAAGCGTCCACATGTCAGCCCAACTTTATGGTCTTTTCCTCCAATTAATAGTCATTCATTTAGATTCTAATGGAGTCGCCTAAATTGTATAGCTTTTATATACTAGGAGGGGAATTATGTGCTGTAGAGGAGTTCATGGTCCAGGATGTTCACAGGGATCTGCTGTGTCCTCAGCCCTGACTCTGTGTCCCTCCTAGGTGACAGGGAGAGAAGTGTCCTGCTCGCTGACCAGCACACAGTCCTGTGCTTCCCGATACTCCGATGTCTGGATTGCTCTTGTTGTGGGATGCAAGGTTGGTAACCACATCTCCTTGGGATACAGCCTGTCACCAACAAAACGGGTATGAAGAGGGAATTAATGAGGTGATTTCTGCAAAGAATCATGAAATCAGGGGAAAACCCTGTTGATACATAAATCTCAAAGTCATGACCCTTATTATTTCTCTACTTTTTTGGAGGGGAGGGTCACTTTTTCAACTCTTTGAGCTTTCTCATTTTGTCCTCCCCCAAATCATGTGGAATTTACCTACTGTTTCTCCAATTTCTTGGTCTGGTTTTTAAAATTGATTTGGCAATACCAGTTTTCTCCCAACTCCCTACAAGGAAGATTTGGGTCAAAGTATCCTTTTGTCATTCACCCATCTAACTTTCTCACTGTAGTCAGAAGCAGGGTTGACTCTAAGACTGGTGACAACATCCATAGAGTCCTTTCAGTGATTCCAGCTGCCTCAAAGTGTGTCCCATTCTGCCCTGAATCTCCCATCATTAGACTCATTTGTCTCTGTTAGATTGCAAAAGTAAGATATTATTTTCAGAGGGTACAGGATACCTATATAGGGCACTACAAGAGGTCCTTTGAACCAACTATCCTATTAGCTGGTTTTCACCTTGGAAGGACAGAGAATCTGGTTCTGGGGGGCACAGGGCAGGCCTGTTTCAATGAACAGGGCAAGCCCTACATGGCAGGAGGCTGCCTGTTGACTATCAGGCCTCAAAGGCCTGGTTGACTGACTGCTGGCAGAGTCGGAGTTTTTGTAGAAATATGTGGTCTTTAAACGTAAACTTTACTCACTTCACCACCAGGAAAATGTTCAAGTGGTTGCTTCTGAGAAATAGGCCTTGGGATGGGCAGGTCAGCGACAGGGAGATGGTGCTTTTTCATTGTGTCTATTTATTACTTTGATAAAAAAATGTTTAAAAGAAAACACTAGGAAGTGAACAGCTTTTGACCTTTAGTTTCTTGCTAATGGATAAGAAAATGAGCTTCACAACGTCCTCCACAACTAGACTGAAGAACAAAACGACAGCAACTTGTCTGTTCCCCTTCCCCCAATTCCCCAGCACTGTTCCCATCCCTCCAATTCCCCAATAAAAAATTTTTTAAAAAGAAAATGAGCTTCAGACTATGACAGAAGGGGGTTTGAATTGTGACTCAACTACTTCCTAGCTGACCTTGAACCTCATTTAACCTTTCTGAGCCTCTGTTCCCTCTTACATAAAATGGGGATGATGATAATATCCTCTCAGAACTGTTCTGAGTCTCAGAAGAGTTAATGCATGGTTAAGAGTTTTCAACCACTCCTGGCCCATAGTAAGAGCTCAGTAAATGTTAAATATTATTATTATTAATCTGCTGCTCCCCCAGGCGGTTCTGGAAAACACGGTGCCTCCCCCAGTCCCTCAAGTCCTTATAGTAGAGCATGTCCTCCCCAGTACAGAAACTCAGCACTTCTCCCATAACAACTCACTTTGTGACTCCACTTGATTTATTTTCTCCATTACCTTTTATATAATTCCACTTCCATTCTATTTCACTGTCATATCTTTCTAAATGACAAAGAAAGAAAAGGGGAAAACAGTGCTGAGCATCAGGGCCTGAGTTACACGCCCGTGGGCTCCCTGGTCAGCGAGCGGTCCCTGAAGAGGCCCCAATCTCTGCATTAAGTTCCAGGAGCCCCCAACCTGAACCTGTCAACTGCCCCCTACCCCACGCTTCTTAGCAATGAAGGTAAATGACATCCAAGTATATATGATTCACTCAAACACAAGTCATGGATGTATAGAGGCTTTATTCATACCTCATTCTTTTTTGGCAAGAATTTTAATGAAATTAAAACATTTTAATAGAATCAGATTTGCACATTTCAAATTTATAAGAATTTCATTCGCTTTTGATTAAATTACTAATCCAACTCTGCCAAATGCCCCCTGATGGCATCAGGTACCCAAAAGCCAGGCCCCACTGGCTTCCTGACTTGTTTATCTTCTGGTCATTGAAGATGGTAGGGTGGCCACGTTTGGCCCTCAGGCCTCATCTGGGACACTGGGCATTGGGGGCACCCAGAAGGCACCTCTGCCATACTAATTCTTTCACTGTAGGCACAGCCAGTCTTCCCCAAAAATTATCTTTAGGGCCATCCCTGCAGGTGGAGTTGGTAACGTCGTGGTATTTCAGAATCATTGGCAGGTGCCCTGCTGATAACTGACCTTGCTTTCATTATTAGTTCTCCCTGAGTCCCCATAGCTCCCACCCCACCCCTACCCCCATGGCATCTTCACATCCTGTGTTGTAAAACAGACATTTCTGTGCGTGCTTTAAACCTCCCTACCAGACTGAGCTCCTTGAAAGGCAGGATCATGACTTATTTCTCTTCATAGCATTATTTTCTGCCTGACACCTAGCATGACATTTTGCACATAGTCAGGGGGACATGTGTTGAATCTATATATTATGTATTATTGATTAAAGCTTTGATTCCTGTTTAAATGCAGCTCCTTCCTTAAAGGTGCTGTGAGTCTTTTTCTCCTTGGTACAAATGAGAAATCTGAGAGCACGTTTATATTCATGGGAAAGAGGAAAGAATAGGGCCCTGGGTTCCCAGTGGTGGGGGCAGGGAAGTCACAAAGAGGGTGAGGGGTAGAGGTGGGGCCTTTGCTGCCTGTGCCTGCCCCACAGTCTCGTCTAGGTCCCAGCCTGCCTTTGTTCTCCTCTGTTTCCACTTTCCATCTCCCTTAAACACCCACTGGCACAGAGCCCCTGCTAGCCTATAGAGATTCTTTGTGTAAATTAGAAAAAGGCACTCCTTCTAGGCAGATGCAATCTTGCAGGTGCAAGGCTTGGCAAGCAGATGGTGCCTTTGGGAAAAGTAGAAAAAAGAGCCCCTTCCCCGGGGCACTGCCCCTGCCGAGGCACATGACTTGACAAGCAGACCACAGGGCTATTTCAGCTTCCACATGGCCCTCAGTTCCATGCAGTGCAAAACCACACAGTGGACGTGGCAGCCCTCACTCAGCAGTACAATGTACGAACTACTTTCCTAGTGCCTGCAGCCCTTTCGGTAGGCTCCCTACCCACCTGCACCACCCTGTCCGGTGCCGGGTCCTGGCAGAGTCCTGTCTGAGGGACTTGCTGAGCTCTGATAAACTAATTCTCAGTACAGGAGAGAAAGATAGCACTTATTAAGCACCTTCTAAGTGTAAGGGTCCTCCCAGGTCTGAGTAAATCCTCATAGCACCCCTTTAAGGTAGGTATTATTACTCTTACTTTACACAGGAGGAAATTGGTCCCACCCCTCCTGCTGTTTGCCACCGAGCCTGTTATTCCACATCTCTGAGCCTCTGGTTCTCCCCTCTGCCTCCAGGGTCTGCTGCTGCTGTATGGTGCCTACCTGGCTGGCCTGACAGACCATGTCAGCTCTCCTCCTGTGAATCAATCTTTAACCATCATGGTTGGGGTCAACCTCGTGGTGCTGGCTGCTGGGCTCCTTTTTGTGGTCACCAGATACTTGCACTCCTGGCCCAACCTGGTCTTTGGCCTCACATCTGGAGGAATCTTTGTTTGTACAACCACAATCAACTGCTTCATCTTCATTCCCCAGGTATGCCCTAGGGAGAATTTGGCAAGGCTGTCCTAGTCACTCCAGAGGCTTTGCTGGGCATGATAAATTGTTCACTGTGCGTTCTATTAAGACTTTTAGGGACCATTTATTGGCGAGTCAGAGGAAGGCGGGGTCCTAGTAAGCTGGCTCCCTCTGTTCTTCCCTCCTCGGTTTCCTGAAGGAAGGGAGCTCAGCTCCCGGTCAGCAAGGACAGGCCAGAGTGGTTGAGCCATAGCAGCAGCCCGTTTCCACCCCTAGCAGCTGCCTTGCAGACCTGCTTTTCCTCCTACCCTCCACCCTGCTTCACTCTTCCCCAACCCCTTCTTCATCTTGATAACATCATTCTTTCACTAGCCTGGGAGCAAGGAGCCTTTCTTTCTTTCCTGTTTGGGATTGCGGATTTACAGGGGGAAACTCATTTATGCAATTTATGCAAAACTTTATGCAATTTTAAATGCTTTTCCTTTTATTCAAGGAAAATCTAGAGTATTCCTCTTCTTTTTACAATATGGAGAAATAAAAATGTGTTTCATATTATGGGGGTTAAGGGGGGAAAAAAATCAAACAAGGGAGGAAGATGGAAGCAGAAATGTCCAGACAGCAAAGAGGAAAAAAGAGAATTGGAGGGAAAGGTGAAGGAATTCACAGGCTGTGAAAGGAAAGTGATGTGAAATTATTCATGATATGCCTGAGGGTACCACTGAGCCACACACATCTGAGTTAATGAACTTGGCATTAGGCACTTTTCTTGTTTCCTTTCTAGTCCTTTTTTTCTAACCCCAGGCTTACCTCATCGCACTACCTCCTTAAGACTCCATCCTGGTTGCCACTGCAGCTTCTAATCGATTGTGAACGACTTCTCCACAAGGGCACTAACTAATAAAGCATTGGCTGATGAAGGGTTACAGTGTATTTATAAAAGTGAAGAGTGCACCTTAGGATATGATGATGTGGCACAGGCATAGACCCTTTTCTCTTCTTCCCTTTCATAAATTCTCATTAAAATAATCAAAAGAATAAACAAATATGGACAAATCTGTAATAGCAGCACTGAAAACCGAGGATGGGTATTGCCTCTGTGTGAGAAACTAGAGGAAGTTTTGCTGAATCTTTTTCAATATTTTAAAAGATTTATTGAAATATAATTCACGTGCCACACAATTTACCCATTTAAAGTGTACAATTCAGTGGCTTTTAATATGTTGACAGATATGTGCAACCTGAATCTTAATATTATAAGAACTGGATTGAAGGAAACCATTGAGAGCAGTCTTATTTGTCTGGAATGTAACAGAAAAGGACTATGAAAAGCAAGGGCTGTTCCTCTTTGGGAGGTGGGGGATGGGGAGTGGGGAGGGTCCTTTTGGGAATCCACCCTTTAGGCTCTATGGCAACATTGTTGATTGGTAACCCATCCACCCATTGCCAAACTCCACAACTAAGATTGAAGGCAACAACTTGGCTGTTCCCCTCCCCCAACTCCCCCATAAAATCTTTAAGAAAAAAAAAAAAGACATAGGAGGGCTGAATGGATAAGAAAACAAGACCCTTACATATGCTACCTACAAGAGAAGCACTTCAAATTGAAAGACACACACAGACTGAAAGTAAAGGGATGGAAAAAGATATTTCATGAAAATGGAAATGAAAAAAAAGCTGAAATAACAGTACTTATACCAGACAAAATAGATTTTAAAACAAAGTGTTTAACAAGAGACAAAGAAGGACCCAGTAATCCCACTTCTGAGTATTTATCTAAAGAAACACAAAACACTGACTTCAAAGGGACATGTGCATCCACATGTTCATTGCAGCATTATTTACACTCGCCAAGATATGGAGGCAGCCTGGATGTCCATCAGTGGATGAATGGATAAAGAGTAAGTGGTACATATATACAATGCAATATTACTGAGCCATAAAAAAGAATGAAACCTTGCCATCTGCAACAATATGGATGGACCTAGAGGGTACTGTGCTGAGTGAAGTAAGTCATACAGAGAAAGACAAATGCCATATGATTTCACTTATACATGGAATCTAAAAAACAAGATATATGAACAAGCAAAACAGAAACAGACTTATAGATACAAAGAGCAAACGTGGTTGCCAGAGGGGAGAGGGTTGGGGGGGGGGTGAGTGAAAAAGGGAAAGGGATTAAGAAGTACAAATTAGTAGTTACAAAATAGTTATGGGGGTGTAAAGTACAGCATAGGGAATATAGTCAGTAATATTGTAATAACTATGTATGGTGTCAGATGGGTACTAGATTTATCAGGGTGATCACCTCATAAGTTATATAAATGTCTAATCACTATATTGTATACATGAAAGTAATATAATATTGCATGTAAACTGTAATGGAAAAATAAAAAATTATTTTAAAAATACAGAGAACTGATCTAGGGTTACAAATTAGAGCAAATACGAGTCTCTGAAAGATAACAGAAAAATTTGAGGCAGACGTAATCACCAAGGAACTAATGGATCTAAAACTAGACCTCCATCTGAAAATTGAGTGAATCCGCAACCTCCAGGAGGTGGCCGTACTTATATCTCCTCTCTCAACACTTGCCTCTGTCCCTCTTGCATCCTAAGCCTCAGACACAAGACGTCCACTCTCCTTGGTGTTTGGATCTTCAGCACCTAGGACAGTAGTGATACCTAGGTATACTCATATGTATTCGTATCCACAGACATAAAAATACAGAATGAATTTCAAAACTTCCAGGTTTGAACTAAGCAACAAGCACCTGATTTGTTGAAGTGGAAGTGGAATTATTATGGGATACAGGAACTGGATGGATGCACAGTGATGGCCTTTCTCTTTCCTTCTCTGACTCACTCCCTTTTTTCGTCTTAGCTAGCTGTCTTGAGCTTTCTTCTTCTTACTTGCTTTCCTCTCCTGTTTTCTCTCTCATGCTTTTTCTCCTCTTGAACCGATCATAACCTAAAACTTAAAAAAAATATATTTTATAGTTCATCTTATTTTAGGTTTAGGTAGTAAAATTTTTTTCGAAATATAAAAGTAACTAAGGTTTGTCTGTTTTTTGTGCGCCCTAGAATTGATTTTCCCCTCTGGCTCAGTGGATGTTAGTAGAAGACTCTCCCTGTGAAATCCGCACTGTATATTCCCAGGAGAGTAGGACAGCTGAGCAAATTTGGGAAAGTATCTGAGTATCATGGGTAGAGGAGGGAGCCGAGGGTGATGAGGCTTCCTTCTTTGCAGCTGAGCCTTCAGACTGGATTGTAGTGGGAGGGGTTTGTAAAACAAAGGCACAGATACTACAAGGGCAGCTAGGTGGCGCTAGAGAGCTGAGTGAAATATATAGATGAAGCAAGTGGACCAAGTAGCATTCCCCACCGGCCCTCAGGAAATGCCTGAGTGCTTATGCAAAACACTGAGGTCATCCTCTGCATTTGTGACCTGAATGTGAGCCATCCCCATACACACCTCCCACTTTTCTCCCTCCACTTCTGAGAGGTAGGTGGGTCCTGAGGTAGGACATGCTTTTCTCCTCTAACCCCCCAAAGTGTTTCATCTGCTTCTCCATGTAAGTACTTAAGATTTTCTATTCGGTGTTGGCGTTATCTGTGTATGTCTCAGTGCCCCTACTAGATAGGTGAGCTTTTTAAAGGAAAAGTTCCTTCGTTTTTTCATATATTCATCCATCCATTTATTAAGTGCTGGGACCATGCAGTTCAACACATGGCCCCATCTCTAGGTCTAGTTTGGTGCAGACATAAAAGGAATTATAATATATGTGTTAAGTGTTTGAGGAAGTCATGTCACATGATGCTGAGGAAGGGGTGCCCCAGCCTGTCTGGGAACTCGGTGACACTTTCTCAGACAATGGTGTGTTTGGGCCCAGTCTTAAAGGAGGAGTAAGGTTTCACTGAGCAGATTGGGGAAGGGCAGCATTTCAAATGGGGGAACACCATGACCAGAGGCAGAGGTGTGAAAGAGAACAGGGTATGTTTGGAGCACCACAAGTCTTTGCACTTTTTGAAGTACAAATTGAAACAAGGGGAGAGTGGCAAGAGACCAGAAGGCACGAGGGTTAAAGATTTGAGATTTAATCCCACTGTATTAGTTTCCTATTGCTGCTGTAACAAATTACCTCAAAATCCGTGGCTTACAACAATACCAGTGCATTAGCTTATAGTTCTGGAGTTCAGAAATCTGAAATGGGTCTTATTTGACTAAAATCAAGTAAGTCTGTGTTCTTTCTGGAGGCTCTAGGAGAGAATCCATTTCCATGCCTTTCCCAGCTTCTAGAGGCCACCTGCATTCTTTAACTCATGGCTTCTTCCTCTACCTTCAGAGCCAGCAGGGTGGCATCTTCAAATCTCTCTCTTTTTCTGACCTCTATTTCCATTATCACATTTTTTTTTTCTGACTCTGACCCTCCTGCCTCCTTCACATAAAGACTCGTGATTACATTGGGCCCACCTGGATAATCTAGAATAATCCCCCCATCTCAAAATCCTTAAGCACATTTCTAAAATCCCTTTTGCCATGTAAGGTAACATATTCACAAGTTCCAGGAATTAAAAGGGGAAACATTTTATTGAGGGGAGGGGCATTATTTAGCCTACCACACCCACATAGCCCAGAGGCTAAGAAAACAAGAATATGCCTGTCCTTCTGAAAGAAAGGTCATGGAGAGGTCCTGAAATTGTGACCTGAGGGTCATTTATTGCCATATCCTGGAACCCTGAAGGGTCAAGTCTTAAGGACCAGGATCTTAACAAATGGGGAATTAAGGGGGAGTAGGTTTTGCTCAAGGGGCACCCTGGCTTCACCTGGTCAGCTTAGGGCAAGACAGACCAAAAGCCCTTACACCAATGCTGAGCAGTTCCTCCAGCAGCCCTGCAGAGGGCGCAAGCTGAGGGTGATGGGGAAGAGAGAGGAAAAGCTGTACTGCTGAGCAAATGAGGAGACTCTGAGAGAGAGTAGAGAGCCTGTGACACCCCTAAGGTCAGTGCCAGGAGAACAGCACTGGAGATCTGCTCCATCCACTCAAGACCATAGAGTGACCCTGCAGTGCCAGGCTCCAGTAGCTCCTGAGTGGGGTGGTAAGCTGATGGCACCCTAGGGATGGGCCCTTCCAGAACGGCATCTAGCGGGGAGGTTCCTGGCCTGATCCAGCACAGGTCACACAGACTCCTGATAGCATGAGGGTTCTCATGCTATTGTGCTAAGTCAACAGAGAACCCAAGAGGACTTGGGTGAGAATGTGGTATTGAAATTAATGGAGGGATTTAGAATCTTATGTGAAATTTACCACATTTAGGTTAGTAAATGTTTAATAAGTGAGCAAAAAAAGGCCCAGAATACCTGTGAGGCTCCCCACAGACACCCCAGCATCATTTCTGGAGCTAAGGTGCCAGAGTGCCAGTGTATATCACTGGGACTCTCATTTATTTAGTTATGAGAATTCCTAAGAGAAAAACAGAAGCCTCCAGAGCTCTGGCCTCCCCTGGCATCCATGTCACTGGCATTTGCCAGGTAGACAGCAGCTCAGGAGCATGTCCCCATTTGAGTGCTCTACGTTTGGCTCCATCCTGTTCACCTAAACCAGCTTCCACGAATTGTTTCTCATAACCAGTTTCTCCTGAGAAACTTTCCCTAGGACCCCCGCAGTTAACGGTCTCTCTTGTCATCAGCTGTGTCGAGGTCATGCGGTGTGGCACGGTGCCCTGGTACAGCTGTGGCTCAGCTGCTAACTAGCTGCGTGGGCCTACACCAGTCCTATTCCTTCTGAGGCTTTCCTCATTTGTTAAGGAAAAAAGATGGTCAGGTTACAGACCTAATGTTCTACCATTTTTACTGATTTTTTTTATTACCAGTTGTGGTTTTTTTATATCTGAGCCTTGACTGTTGAGTTGGGTTAGAAGTCCTCCAGCAAGGAACTGGGTTTTCAATGGCAGTAAGCACACAATTACTCAACAAATGAGGATAACTAAGAACAGCTCCATATAACCAGAAACAGTTTCATTTGAAACATACAGTGTTTAGATTGTTTAACCCTGTGATAGCTCCTAAATGCTGATTTTAGAATATGGCTCTAGAAGTATTCTTCAACTCTGGTTTTCTTTGACCAGTTCAGCAATGGGTGGGTCAAGCTAAGATTGTTTTATTTCATCTACCTGTCATTTTTCCTTTTCCTTTAAAACTATATAACCTTAATATTCTCGATACCTTCTGTCACAACTACCTATGAGCTTTCCACAGTAAAGTACATTTTGAGGAGAGAATAGTTTGCGCATTTGTGTATCACTATCTTCCTTGGTGTTTTCCAGAAAGAATGAGAGAATGTGTTTCTGGGTGTGTAATTAAATAAATAACATGTGTTCTTTTATCTAACAGCTGAAGCAATGGAAGGCATTTGAAGAGGAAAACCAAACAATCAGATGCATGGCCAAATATTTCAGCACTCCCAGCAAAAGCTGCCATACCCAGTATGGTGAAGAACAGAATTTGCATGCTAGAGGAGAGAAAAACTCCATGGAAAGGCTTCTCACGGAAGTAAGCTAGACCCCTGCCTGGTGGGTTCTCTATAAAGAAGAACTCCAATCATGCACTGGTGGGCCCTAGATGTCGCATTGCTAACATTTTCTTCTCCCATTCCTCCACTTCCTGGCCATTCCCACTTCCCTTAGCAGCAGGCAAAACCTCGACATTTCCCCAGTGACTCTCCCATTGCTGACCCTCACTCACTTCATTCATTCATTGGACAGATGTGTGCCAGGCATTGTGCTAAGTGCTAGTGAATAAAACAAATATAGTCCCTACCCTCATGGAGTCTAATGGAGGAAATAGAACTTGATCAAGAGAATTATGAAGGGAAAAATCAGGGTGGTAAGACAGAATAATGGGAACCTAATTTAGAACTGTCAGCAAAGACTCTCTGAGCTGAGAGCTGAAGGTTAAGTACAAACTGACCTGGCAAAGATCACAAGGAAAAGCATTCTAAGCAGGGGAATAGCACTGTGAAGGCCCTGAGTTGTAGTGGATGCTAACTTCTTCTGTATGAAACATTCTTTCTTTACATAGCACAGTGCCCTCATTTACAAGATCAAATGGAGCCCCTTACTGTCTTTTCCAGGATCTCAATCATCACACCAACCCAGAGAGCGAAGAAGTGGCTAAAGATGGGGAGGGGTGCTGAATAGAGCTTTCAAATATCATAGTAGCATCAAGGGGGGAACAAGGCAGCCCCCAGCCCTTCTTTCTTCTGTACTTGGACCAGAGTTGGCACCTCTCCCAGAATTGGGCAATGTGGTGTGGGCTTGAGGAAAGCACATGGAAAAGCTTAAGGCTGCACTTGCTCAGGAAGGAGGCATGGGGCCCAGAAGAATTAGTCAGTGTTTTCACACTAAGTAAATTAATAAATCCCATGTTCTTTTCAGTACAGAACATACCTTAGTAGGTGCTATTTGGGAAACTATGTTTTTCTGTAATTGGACTGACACCTGGGTATCAGTAGTCCTTGTGTGAGAGGATGGTGTGATGGGGACCTAAGAAACACAACCAATGAAGGGATTGACCTCCCCTGGCAAGCACTGTTCATGCCCGTCTAGTCTCCCATACCATCCCCATAGTTCTGAGCCTTTTTTATCCATCAGAGTAATACTTCTCCATTACTTTACTATTTATGAAGCATTCAGGACCTTATTTCAAAGCCAGATTCCTCCCCACCTGGCAAGAGAGTAGCATTGCCTTTGATACTCTGGGAAGTCTTCAAAGAAGCTTTTTTCCCCAGCTCAACAGAAGGCCAGAAAATTGGCGAGAACAGCCAGGATGGTTTTCATTCACAATCAGCGAATGCTGGAACAGCCAAGTGGCCTGACTCTTTAGCCTTATGGTAATTTGTGACGTGCTTTTTGTACTTCTGCCATGCTACCCTGTTTCCCACGCAGTGACTGAATCTGCTCTTTCCAAAAAGATGCCTTGAGTTTGCAGAGGAAGGGCTCTAATAGGAAGCAGATGCATAGGCAGTAAAAAGCTGGCCTCCCCCCAGGACCCTACACCTGGAGCACCTTTCCCAGAACAGGCCCGAGAACCAGCAGCCATCCTAGAGCACCATCGCAGGCCTAGAGAGGTTCCAGTTCTCATCCCCCAGCTCCGGCACTGCCTGGTGGACACAGTACCTCTCCTGCCTCGGTATGTGCATAAACCCTGACTCCAGCTCCTCAGTTGCAGTGCTCTCTGATGTAGTCCCCTCTCCCATTCTGGTGTCTGCCTCTTACTTTTCCATGACCTGGACAGTCCATCTTCTCATTCTTGCCTGCTTTGCCCCTGTGGCTGGGGTTCCCTCAGAGGCTATCTGGGGCAGCATCCGTCACTGACTTCCCAGGCTGGGTGAAGGCCAGCAGATAGAACCTTCCCAGAGGCTGAAGAACCTCCCTTCTATACTCTGCAACAGAGCAAACCCACCTATGATTTGTCTTCCTTGAACCAGAGAAGCAAGAGGGTGATTCAGTTTATCATTATGACCGGCACTTGATGAAACACACCTGTGCACGCTTGCTTGCCCAGATGTGTCAAAAGTAATAATTAGTAAGCTCATTTAAATGCAGCTGCCATGGTAGGTCAGAATTTGGTCTCACAATGGCAGTGGCTTACACCACGCCTCTAATTAGTATTCAGCCATAGTGAAAACAAGAGTCCCACTTCTTTCTCTGAAAGAAGAGAAATTTACTGTTTAGGCTGACGTTTCTAAATCCATTACCAGCCAACTTCAGATGTTCATTCTGCTGGGAGAGGAGTACTCTTCCCAACTGAATGTTTATCCTATTTTCCTGCACTCAAGGAAATTTGTGGATAAGGCACAAAATGTCAGCACTCAGAGTTTACTTGCTAAGGCAGTTATCATCAGCTGGTGGCTTCCTCCTAACTCTGAGGCACAAACTTCTGACCTCTTGAAGCCAGCCTGACAATGTACAGGGCAGGCTTCCTAAGGAGGGGCTGCTGAGGAGGGAGAGGGTTGGGGTCCCTCCTGAGCAAGTAGCAGTCATGAGATCCTCAGACAGATACCTGGCACCAGCCAGGTACCATGAAGAGCCTGAATGAATGTCTCCCAGTTACTCATCCACTCTGCTCCTGGTGAGTCCTTGAGTCATCTACACTTTCCGCCAACACCCAGACCTTACACTCTGCAGGTGAAGAAAAGAGAGAACCGGCAGGCAGGGGCTCAGCTGCAAGTCCCTTCTGCTTATTCACCAGTTACTCACTGGTCTGGGACTCTCCTGATGATAAAAGAAGTAGGCTAAACCAGGATGTAACTGGGAGTCCCAATAATCAGAGAAGTCACCTTCCTGTTTATAAATAGGGAGCCATAGATCTACCTTGGAGTTGCTGCCAGAAGACTACTTACTGCTGGACTAGTTTACTTAAGGTACCGCTTTCTGAAAGGGTCGCTTCTGGGCAACTGTCCCATCTCAACTTGAGAAGACACCACAGGTTTGGTCCATATGCAACTTGTATCTGGGATCCTAAAGAAGGGAAACATCCTTTCATGCCTAGAGCATAATAAATGGATGTCGAAAGGCCCATCCTCAGCTTCTAAAGAGGATGGCAGCAAAGAGGCAGCATTAGGGTATTCTGACAAGCAGCTCCTAGAGCACAGTGCCTGTTATTACCTTCGCCAAACCCTCGACCCTGGTTGTCTTCATCAAGCCTATCAGGTCCCCATGACGATATCGTCCCTGCTCTACTGCCTTTGAGCATCAGAATTTTCAGGAGGTGGACACAAGATCTGGGTTAGAGAATCAGCTGCCATACCCCTGGAGGACGCTCGGGACTTGCCCACCACCAGTATTCTTCCTCCTACTTCATGCCCGTGATGTCAAAGTTAGAATGGGCATACCTCTGCAGCTCGTACCTGCCAGCCTTTCTGGGTACAGCCTGTTTAAAAACTAACAGTCATGCAGCAGGTAGGCAGCTCAGTAGCAGAACTGCCCCACCCTCACTCATCTTCTGATCTCCATTCTAGACCTACTGAATTGAGCTATCAGAAACTAAGGCCCAACAATCCTATTTTTTAAAAAAGCTTCTCCAATAACCCCGATGCCTGCACTTGTTTAGGAGATAATTGGTAACTGATAGTGCCACATGGTAGCTTTTGCCTCCCACCCCCAAGGTCCAGCCAAGGGAGGTAATAGCACCAACCTGAGATTCTCATTGGCTCCTCCTGGCTCCAGTCTTCTCTCTTTGGCCAGGAATTGCCACCTGTTTCTCTGTGTCTCCATTTTCTAGTCTGTTTAGCAAGATACAAAATACTTATTTTCCCATTTGATCATCCCTTTGAGATGTGCTTCAAATTCATCTGCTTCTTGCAAAAGTGTGATAAACCCAGAGTGGGGCCATCCCAGACATTATTCAGATCGGTGTCCTGCAGAGTGACCTGACCCTGTCAGTTCTGAGGAGAGCTGAGAGGGTGTGCAGCAGCCAGCCAGCTGCTCTGCTGAGCCTCCTCCGACATCCCATCTCACAGACAATGCCACAGTGTGGGGATATAAGGTAAGGGTTGAGGTCATACAACAATAAATCATGATTAGCCTTTGTTGAGCTCCAAGTGTCAGTTATTGTGCTAAGCACTTTGCGTGCATCAACGTATTTCACCTGGTGGAGGTACCTCCTCAGAGCCTAAGATCAACAGCTGATACACAGAGGAACTGGGACTTAAACCTACGTCTTGTGGCGCCACACTTTCTCCACCATGGGAAACAGTATAAAAACCCTCGGTGGCATCTTTTGATGGTTTTGCTTTTATCTTACAGAAAAATGCTGTGATTGAAAGCCTGCAGGAACAAGTAAACAACGCCAAAGAGAAGCTAGTGAGGCTGATGTCAGCTGAGTGCACCTATGACCCCCCAGAGTGGGCTGTCCTGCCTGCCTCTCCCCACAGCAAAGACGGCCAGGCCACAGCCCCTGTGCACGGCCTGGCAGCTGAAAGGCCTTCAGAATGCCTCTCGGACTCTCCAAATGATGCCAGTGCAGCTGCCCGGGACTCGCAGAGTACCTCAGTGTCCTCCTCAAGCGCACAAAGCCTCGAGGTGTCTGGAAAGGTCACTGGCTCCTCCCCAGGGCGGAAGGAGATGTCTGACTTGAAAGATGTTCATGATCTGGGCTGCAGCCAGAAGCCTCAGACTGAGCAAAGCCAGGGTGCAGAAGGAAGAGACCAGGTACCTATGACCCCTCACCGAAGTCTCATACCAGGTGAAGAAGGCTCTGTTCCCCAGAGACAGGGACAGCTGGAGAACTCAGGGGAGCCCCAAAAGCAGCTGTCAAGGGTCAATTCAGTGATCAGAGAGAAGCTTCAGGAAGTCCTACAAGATCTGGGCCTGGGCCCTGAGGCTCCCCTCCCCTCTTCCCCGTCTTGTCCCCAGCAGTCCTGGAAGAGCACTGCTGCCCACAGCCCCCAGAAGATGCCCCTTACCAAGGAGCTGGGCTTCAGCCCATACATGGTGAGGAGAAGGCGGGCAGCACAGCGGACTCGCCCACACTTTCTGGGCTCTGTACCCTCATATGTGGGGCATCAGGCAAATAGGACTGTTTGGAGGGCACAAAGTAGGCTAAATGTGCAGAACAGAGACATCCTCTGCCTGGACCCCCAAACAGCTGATTCCAGGGTACCCTTTCCCAGGAAGCCTTTACTACTACCAGATCCTCAAGGAAAGTCAGGCATCCTGGAGGACAGCAAACAACACCAGACAGAGCCCCAGGGGGCCAGAAGGAGCCATGCAGCTTTTCCTCACCAGCCTTCTGGTTCTGGGCAGGCACAGTGTTCCACTGCCCCACGCCTATCCACAGCCTCACCAGATCTGCCTGAGCAGCAGCAGCTGCAGTTCCCAGGGACCCCAGGCTGTCCCTCCCTTTCTTCATGCAACTACCTTGATACTGAGTCCAGCAGCTCAGACGAGTTCTTCTGCCGCTGCCACCGGCCCTACTGTGAAATCTGCTTCCAGAGTTCCTCTGATTCCAGTGACAGTGGCTCATCAGACACCGACCCTGAGGATGCTGGAGGGCTGGCTTCTTGGGAAAAGCTGTGGGCCCGTTCAAAGCCTATCGTGAACTTCAAAGATGACTTGAAACCCACACTGGTGTGAAAAGCAGCAGAGCAAGTCTGGATGGAGAGGTCAGGCCAGGACAAGCCGTACCAGGTCCTAGAGGAGAAAGACCAGTTCTGGCCTTTGGGGAACACACCACTGTCCTGCATTTGACCAGCTCATCCCATGTTTCAGCTATGCTCATTTGAGCATTGTGTTACCTTGAGCACTTCTTGATCCATAAAAAGAGGGATATTGCCTTTCTTGTTACTACCTCACAGCTTTCTTGTAAAAGACTCCAGTTGGGTGATCATAAAAGATACTCTTTAGATAAAAGGTGCTAAATAAGCATGGAGGATTTTCTGTCCTGGTCAGCCTGTATTCTATTAAACTGTTAATACATATGAGATGGCTAGCTGGTGGACAGACAGATGGAGAGATGGAAGGAAAATTTCTATAGAACCAGAGTTGTGGACTGTGACCCATCAAACTTGCCTTTTGATGGCCGACCTGCTTCGAAGATGAGTTTCCTCTATCCTTGGGTGTCCCACTCTTGGCAAGGGGTGGTTTTGCTTCTGCTAAAGGCTATAAACAGCACCACCCTTAGGTTCCAGCTTCCAGACAGACTCAGCTGAAAACCACCTCTACAGCAGTATTTGGGGTTCATGTCTTTCCACTATTGTGGAATCTCACCATCATCCCTGAGACAGCCGGGTCTCCATGTGGCCATAGGCTACCCAGATCTCTCTCTGTCCTGGGCTTGGATGGCACCTGAGGCCCAGACTGTCTCCTGGTCCTTGTAGTCCATCCCTTCCACTCTGCCAGTGGTGCGGTTTTGGACTGGGGGGAAGCACACACTGGCAGTCTCTGTTGGCATAGAGGTGGCCCTGTTGGTCAAGAGGTGCTTTTTGTGCCATTGGAGTTACATGACCACCAAAGGATACATAAACCTGGAAATGGAAAATGGGGAAATAAAAAGGAAGAAATAGGGGAGAAGGCAGGAAAGAAAACAGATTTTGAACCCGGTATTTGGCAGTATCAAATTTCAATAATTCCTTAGGGCAACCCTGTGAAGTAGACACTCTCATTCCCACTTTCACAGATGGAATATGAGGAACACGGGGACTATGAGCCTTGAAGAACTGGGATAACTTCCCCAACACCACACTGGTGGAGGTTGGCTGATGTGGGCCTTGCCCACAGCTCATCTCTTCACTCATTCTGCTGAGAGTGGCAAGCAGGGCTTAGCAGGCCAGACAGTAAACCAAGGGTAAGGTTGGAAAGTTGCAGTGTGCTCACCCTGGAGTCCAGGACACCTTCCCCAGGATAATAAAACTGGGTTTCTTGCCTTGGGATGCAGCCCTCAATGCCTCAGGGACCCACCTTCACCTCCCAAGGGAGTCAGGGAGTTGGTGAAGGGTGAGTGCCAGGACCTTGTCTGCTACCTGAGCTACAAGGAAAGCACAGCTGCGTTCACTCCTGCTTGTTGCTGAGCTGCTGGTCTAGAGGCCACCCCCTGCCCCCACTCCCTGTGTGTGCATCTGTGTGTGTAAGATGTTCATGTGCAGGAGTTTGGGCCTCATTAGGAATACTTGGAGGGGGGAATTTGGCTCGAAATGTCTCACAGAAGATTTATCATGGACTCTTGGGGGATGCCAACACCTTGTGACTCTCCAGCCCGGAAGGCCCTCCTGGTAGCACAGCTTCTTCCGTCACCTACTTTTACATACAAATGTCATAATTTATTCTGCATGTGGGTTTGTAGTTTCTGCTTGTGCTGTTTGTTTGCTGTCCAAGTGATACCTTAATAAAAGAGAAATGGCTCCCAAAGCAAGTCTCTTCAGAAATTGTGGTCTCATGCTGGGGAGCAGGAGCATAGAGAAGACTGAACCACCCAAAGGAGCGGACACGCAGCAGCCATCAGTGTTGCTGATGGGTTACCCTGGTTTCAAGGATATCTTCTAACCAAACTTCCATTTGTAACAGACTCTTCCGTGGTCTCCTTGTGCAGCTTCCTATCCCAGAAACATCTATCCTAGTGGACAGAGGAAATTCAGGAGACCCTGGCCTCTTTCCACTCAAGGGGGTTCCTGTAGTTGGGCTTGACCCCCTTCAGCTTCTTTCCTTCCAGCGTGTCACCACTAGCTGCCTACTGTTCATTAATGTGCAATGTGCAGGCTCTAAACCTGACCATCCTTCTAGCCCTCTCACTCACTATGCTCCTATATCCTCAGTCTCACCATCCCAGCTCTTCTACAGCCCCATCCCTCTTCTATTTGGAATTCCTTTCCCCTCTTTGTGCACCTGGTGAATTACTCATCCTTCAAGACTCAGGGTGAGCTTGCATTCTCTCTTCAGCCTTTCCCAAACACCCCCAAATAAAATTGCTTGCCCCCCCCCAGTTAAACAAAGGAGGATGCTTGGGGACCCATGTTTCAAACTCAGGTACATAGAGGCTTCTGTTATCCATTTTACCTGGAATGACTTTGTAACCCTTGATAGACTTGGTCGAAAAGATGGAGCGTATAACTCCCAATTTTCCCTATCATTTGGTTCAAAAACTATGTACCAAACGCTACAGCTGCCTGCCCCCAAATACTGTTTCCAATCTCTTGTTTACTCTTGCACCATCCCACCCCCACTCCTTGCCAGCTCCTTCCCCAGATCTTTTACTCAAGACCAGCTAACCCAATGACGAAATTCTTAAAGTAATGAGTGTGCCGTGACTTTTGGCATGCTCTTGATTGTTATGCTCTTGAAGAAAGGGCAGTAACGTCTACAAAGGAATCTGGAGAAGTAAACATTGTCTCTGTTGCTGTCATCTGGGCTATGCATGTCTCTGTCGGTCTTAAGGTCTGGCATGGAGCCAGGCGTGATTCTGACCCAAGCGTATGTTGCCCTGCAGATTGAAATCTTGGAGTTGGAGGTGTCGATCCTGATTTCAAAGTCTGTCACTATCTCCTGGCCTGTGCCCAAACTGTCTTTCCTTAAAGGATCAACTTGGACTCCCTGGAGCTAGTAGAGCAGAAAAGAAGCATCAGATGTAGGAGGAATGTTTTTAAAGAAAACCGTATTCCTTCTAAAATGGTAAAAAAGAAGAGTCAATGCAAGTTCCACAAGATCTCTTCTGTGTCTGTATTTATTTTATTGTATTTAAATGTGTCTCGTCCACAGATTTCAAGTTCCTAAAAGCATTGAGTGCATCTTCTGCATTTTTGTATCCTCTGGAATAGCCGTCAGAGAACTTTGCACAAAGGGTAAGCCCAATAAATGTTTGATGGCTGGATTTCTGGGCAGATGAGTGGATGAAACAAAGGAAGGCAAAGAACCTGTGTGGGGCTAGGAAAGCAGCAGAAAGGGAGGCAGAGCCATCTGGTTTCACTACATTCCAACGAGCTGAGAGCAAGGAACATCACCCAAAAGTAACTGAATTCTGAAAATGACAGTACTTTAAGTCTCTCTTAGGGAGAGAGAGAGTAGAGTGATGGAGTTAATGGAGGAGAGGCAAGAAAATTATTGTGAGAAAGGTTTTCTCTTAAAGATACTTTCTCCACAGGTTTACAACTAACAAGCATTAGCAGGAGGACAGTCTACTCATCTTTATCACCATCACCTTCCGAGTCCCCTTTCTTAGAGCTCCAAACAAAGCAGTGTCTCTGTTCCCGCTGGCTGCTGCCTGTTTCCTAGTAACACCATCTAGGCTTTGTTATGGGAGGTGTAATGCAAAGATGGAATTTATGGGGCTGAAAGGAGAGAGGCTACTCTTGGTCCTCAGACTTTGCTCTTCCTCACCTCTGGTATCTTCATACCTACTTTAATCTTTCTCCCAAAATATTCCTAATCTTAGCATCCCCAGCCAAACTGCATTTGAATAAGGGATTATTCAGCTCACTACTGAGGTCACAACGAGGCAGGAAATGCCATTGTCACAGGACAAAATAACCTGATATCAGCTTGACAAGCTCTGGGTCAGTATCTCTCAACCATTTTCATTCTTTGACTTACCTTTGGGTGCTCAAATATACTAGCAAGACACATAGGCTCTGGAAAGGTCTTCAGGTGACTAAGAGAAAAGCAAGAGGACAGGAAAAAAGAAAAGAAAGAGGATAAGAAGTCCAAAAGACAGAGAGACACGTGGGAGATGTGGTGAAGGAGGAAGGCAAAGAAAGACAGCATCCTGCTCAGCTTCGCCAGACTGTGGCAGTTGCCTCCCTTGTAAGTGAGCATGCTGGCTGCTGTTCTGAGTTGGGAGAAAGGCTCACATATGCGAAGAACGGCTGAGCTACCCTTGCAGAGACCTTTCTTCGGTGTGTGTGTGACTGTTGGTTCATTCCTCGACTTCCCCCTACTGGACTGTGAGCTTCTTGAGCCCACAACTTTTTAAAATTATCTTGCTGTCCCAGCACCTAGCATGGTGCATGGCACATGGTTGATGCTCAGCAGATGGTTGTCAAAAGAAATAAATCAAGGGCTGGCCGAGTGGCGCGATGGTTAAGAGCTGGCTTGGGACGACAGAGGGCCCCGGTTCGGATCCCACATGTGAGGGCCAGTGACACTGCCCTCCACAGCTAAGATGCTGAACAACAGCTCAACCTGGAGCTGCCGGGTGACGGCGTAGGCTGCAGCCCCTGCTGCAGTGGGTTGCCATGGGCTACCTATGTAGCCAGCAGCCAGCGTGAGTAGTCAGCAGCCGCAGTGAGCGGCCGTCCAGAAGCTGGCGACTGATCTGCCTCGCCCGGGAAGAGCGCAATGATGGTGCCAACTTGGGCCAGTGAAGNCCCGGGAAGAGCGCAATGATGGTGCCAACTTGGGCCAGTGAAGCAACGTCCTCCACAACTAGACTGAAGAACAAAACAACAGCAACTTGTCTGTTTCCCTTCCCCCAATTCCGCAGCACTGTTCCGATCCCCCCAATTCCCCAGTAAAAAATCTTTAAAAAAAAAAAGAAAGAAAGAAATCAAGAAGAGTGGCCTACCCAGAACTGGCTCAACGGGGACCCTAACAAGGCAATGCAAAAGAGGTGAAGTCACCTAGGAAGCAGGGCTTAGGTATCTCACCACGGACAACAGTGTTGTTGATCCGCTGAAGTTGAAATCCTTTGTGATAATACCTGAACCCTTTGTCAAAAGAAAACATTGTAGATGGGCTCTCTTCTCTACTAATTTTTATACAATAATTTTCTACCCCAACTGCAATGCCTGGGCTTAAAATCACCTATGTGTCTGGGTGACTTTCAGCAAGTTGCATAACCTCTTTGTGGCTCAGTTTTCCCAGCTGTAAATTGGGACAATAACACCTACCTCATAAGGTTGTTATGAGGGTTAAATGAATATTTGTAAAGTGGTTTGAACTGTGCCTGGCACAGAGTAAACATTATGTGTTTGTCTTAGAAAGTTGTTTAGGAAACAGATTTATATTTAGAAATCCTTTCATGTTTTCTTGCTTTATACCAAAATCCCCCTTCTCTGTCTTCAATTTATTCCTGAGGGAAGGGTCTTCTAAATCTGGCAAAATGAGGGGTGGTTCAGCCCACTTCCTGGGCAACAGAATCTTCTCCCTGAATCCCTTCCAAGGTCAGGTTCACTTTAGGGAGCACAACCACCTACAGGACTCAAATGTTAGGGCTGGCCTAGAAAGAAAGGTGCGGTTAGAAAGTCAGGAAATCTGATTTTATTTTAGGGTGGAGCCAAGAGACACAACTAAGTTCCTTTGTAGACCCATTATACACTTTGTCATAGAAAAAATACATAGAGTAACTACTATGTGCCACTTAATATTTGTCTCATTTAATACGTATAACCATCCCACAAAATGGTAGTTGTTTCGGTTTTACAGATGAGGAAACTGTAACAGGGAAAGGTTAGGTAATTTGCCTAAGGTCACCCAACTGGTTAGAGGCAGACGAGAGTTTGAACTGAAATCTGACTTGATTCTAAAGCCATTTTCGGACTCCCTGATGCTGGTCCCAGAGCATGTGCCACAGGCATGCTACCAGAAGACAGAAGGAATTTCAACCCGGCAGGGCAGGGGCCCAGTCTGAGGTTTTCTTAGGACACCAAGGCTTCCTTAGGAAAAGCAAGCTGGTCTGGTTCTGTAAGCCTATTGCAAAACCCTCCACTGCTGAGTCATTGAACAACTTCCTGGAGGCTGGAAGGGAGCTTTCTAAAGTTACCTGGTCACTCCCACCCTCTTCAGGAAGTCCACTACCAAATGGTACTGAAAAAAAAAGCCAGCCCCTTGTTTAAAAAGACCATGGTCAGGCCCCCAAGCTGGAAGTTTTTTCTCAAGTACTGAGCCCTTTAAATGGGACAAAAACATGACTCTGGCAAGTGTCCCAGAAAATCCTATGACAACTAGAGACAGACCACAGATCCTCTGCTGAGACCAGGGTAGGGCCATAGAATCTCTTCAACTCAAGCTCTTACTTTGTGGAAAACCCTTCATCGCTCCTACTTCCTGCAAGATTAAATCTCACCTTGGTTTGGGCTTTGAGGCCCTCCACCATGGAGTTCTACCCTCCCTCATTCTCAGCTTACCTAAAACGCTCCTCCTTGCTCCTGCCAAATGGGTTTACTGTTGCCAGACCATACCTCAGGCTTGTGCAGGAGGAACAAATTTCCTCTACCTTCAAGGCTCTTCTGGCTGGCCTAATCAAATAGACATGAGACAGATGAGCAAGAGAAAAAAAACCAAATTTTATACCTACATATGTATGTATGGGAACCTTGCATACATGAGAGAGTCAAAGACCTCACATGCACCAGAGGTTCAGAGATAGAAAGGGTGATTGAGGTATATCAGACATTCTGAGCTAGAGA